TATGGATGACAAACCTAGCTGAATGGCGAAGTTGTGGTGTAGTGTTTGGTTGTCCAAAAGCAACTCTGTCTCTGCAAGCTGTAGTTGAAGGTGGTTGTCCTTCGTCCAGCCAGAAATGTCTGTCAGGCAGGCTGAGATGTGAGCAGCAACCGTCAGATCATCAGGCTGGAATGAGAGGTAGAGTTGTGTGTCATCAGCGTAGCAGTGATAGGAAAAGCCATGTTTCTGAATCACAGATCCTAGTGACGTCATGTAGATGGAGAAGAGAAGTGGTCCAAGCACTGAGCCCTGAGGCACCCCAATAGCTAGATGTTGGGTCTTAGACACCTCACCCCTCCATGACACCCTGAAGGACCTACCTGAGAGGTAAGACTTGAACCATTATAGTGCAGTTCCCGAAATGCCCTTCGTTTTTAGGATTGACAGGAGGATCTGGTGGTTAACTGTGTCAAAGGCAGCAGACAGATCCAGCAGGATGAGGACTGAGGATTTGGAAGCTGCTCTTGCCAGTCTCAGAGCCAGGGCCGTAGCTAGAGGATTCGGGGCCCCCTGAAAAAATATTGATGTGGGCCCCCACCACCTCCACCAATATCATATACTGTACAATAGATGAACATGGAGGCCCACATATAACAGAAGATGGTGATGTTGTTGTAAAACCTTTATTTTAAAAGTTAAATGTTTATATAAAAATTACAACTAATAAAAACTAACAAAAAGCAAGAAATTGTTAAATAATAATAAAAACCAATTATTAAAAAGTAATATTTTTTTTCCCCATCAGTCTGTTATAATTCATAAATCAAAAAGTAAACATTTAGAAATTGACAAGAATGCAGTCTAATTAAAAAAATAAAACCATTTATTGCCTTATTTTTTAATTAAGATAATATGGAACTGGTAATATTATTAAATAAAGCGAATACATTTATTCATCCAAGTGCAGTGTGTTGTATTCGTGTTTTCTCTATGTTTAAAATATCATCAGCCGGCAGGTCAGATGCATAATGCAATGCGTCGTGACTCGTGTAATTTTTTTAAAACTCTATTTACAATAGTGTAAAAAGACAGGAATTTAGACCACGTAATCATTCGGTCGATTGTGGCGCGCACCGATAATAAAAATTGACTGTACACGGCAGACTGTAGACGGAAGTTTTCTAATTCCCAGCGAAATAACAATAACCGGTCTTTAAGAACGTCTTGATCGAATGGGATACAACCACTCTCCTTGCCTCCCTCTCCGTCTTTTCCTGGCATTTCTGGTACCTGATTTATGTTTTCTTTCCCCCGACATTTTTCAGTCAGTCAGTCTCTTGCTCTTCCACCAAGTTCATCGTTATCTTCAGGCTGCCGCCTCAACTCTGATTGGTTCTGTTCACGAGCTGGGGTGGGACTTACAATTTTATTGGGTCCATCTGATTTTTGTCACTGACTCTGACTGAATAATTAATAAATACTTTAGGTCGGACTAAACCATTTTTATGGAGGTAAGAGAAGCAGATATTTGGAAAAATATTTACCCAAATTGCACGTTTTTGTGGTTTTCATTTAAATCTCAGGCATACAACTAATATAAATATTAGAATTATTCATACAACAGGGGCCTAAATAGTATAACTGCTGGATTTTGTGGGGCCCCCTGGGCAGCGGGGGCCCCTATAATTGTCACCACCTTTCACCCCACTAGCGACGGCCCTGCTCAGAGCTTCAATTACCGAGAGCAGGGCAGTCTCAGTTGAGTGTCCACTTTTGAAACCAGACTGGTTGTTGTCCAGGAGGTTGTTCTGTGTAAGAAAGGAAGAGATCTGGTTGAAAACGACTCTTTCAAGTGTTTTCACGACGAATGAAAGAAGGGATACCGGTCTGTAATTTTCCAGATGTGCTGGATTTAGAGTGGGTTTCTTAAGCAGAGGGGTTACCCAAGCCTGCTTAAATACTGTGGGAAAAGTACCAGTGTGAAGAGAGGTGTTTATGATGTGCGTGAGTGCGGTACAACTGAGGAAGTAATGGCTTAAAGTAGATTAATAAAAGATAAATAAAAAAAGATAATTAAATGTATTGTACATCTTACTTTGTGTATTGTGTACTGGGACTCAGGTAAGTTAACTTCTCTTTGTTGCTGTTAACTTTTGCTTTAAAACGTTACTTCCCTTTTGCCCCTAGAAAACTAATTGGGAACGTAACAGTGGGAATAGGATCAAGCAGACAGGTAGTAGGGTGATTGAATAGGAGGAGTTTGGAGACTTCTGCCTCTGAAAACAAAGAGAAGGAGGGTAGAATGTGTGTGTTAGCTGGTAAGATGTGTGTGCCAGTTTGTGGTTTGGTAAATTGGCTGCTGATGGTGTTTGTTTTTTTATTAATAAAGTGGCAAAATGTCAGCTGTTAGGGTTGATGAAGGAGGGGGAGGGTTGAGAAGAGAGGAGAAAATTTTGAAAAGCATGCGAGAGTCAAAAGTTAATTTAGTTGTGTTACTTATGCAAACTGAATGTAATGTAACACTTAATTGTATGTTATTTGCAATTAAATGAAAATGTATTATAGTTTAAATTTATATTAAATGCAATTAGTGCAATTTACGGGTGATTCTTTGACATACTACTTAACAATCATAATTTTCCAAAATGTACTATAAAGTAAAAGTTTTAATTTGACATTATTACAAAGTGCCCTTTTTAAAATTGTTAAGTATGTTCAGAAACAGTCGTGAAAGTGAACTCTCCTAAGTACACTTAAGTAATCTTTCATTTAATTAATATATTATCTGCAAGTATATACTTTTAAGATTTGAAGTATAAGTGCACATTCAATACAATTAAGCACACTTCTTTTTCACAATAGTAGGTGACATCATCTGAAAAGGGCACATGTTACATTCAAATGAACCCTCAATCCAATTATGCATCACTATCTACTGTGAACCCTGCTGAAAAATCCAGCATTAACCAGCATGAATTCCATGTTGGTCTTGGCAGGTTTGTTGGTTAGAGCTGGTATAGTGCTGGTCTAGCTGGTACAGGTACTCCCGCTTCCCATGCAGTCTGCGGTCCAGAAAACCAACAACCAGCATCCCATGCTGGTCCCAACATGCAAAACTTATGCTGGTGACCAAATGGATTTTTTCAGCAGGGAGAATATACCCCAAATTACCAATCCACTCCAAAGAATAATCCACAAAAGAGGTCTGGGCATCACAGTGATATTTCACAGCATCATTATGTGTTCTGATCAACTTCTAGAACGAATGTGCAACAGCAGGGTGGATGGCAGGGCAAAACAATGCACTTTCAATTGACTGTGACAGCAGCTCACAGTGAGAACCAACTGTTACTGCACATCTCTGGGCAACTGCAAGAGGCTTTAAACCAGATACCTGCTGCTTTCCTCTCAGAACATCATTTCATACTGGCACCTGCCAGTAAAGTGCTGGGCGCCCTATTTCCTCTTCTGTGAGAGAGTCTGGAGTGGGAGGACACAGGGAGGGACATGCATGACATGTCTGCTGATGTTCTTTTAGTCTGACCCATATGCGTGAAGGCGAGTCCAGCAAACAATTACACCCACTCCTGATGTGATGCTAAATGGCCAAGGAGATCCAAAGGCACTGTGATGCAGAGAAAGGACAGGACAAGACCGAACAAAAAGATGCAAAGGAGGAAATTGAAGACAAAACACTGCAATGTTGTGTCACAGAAGAACACTACTTGCCAATCAAGCAATTGTTCAGGTGTCAATATCGTAATTAGAATTGAGTGCTGGGTATTGGATGTAAAACAACACAAGGTTGTGTCACCTATAGGAGTCTATATTGGGTCTTTATAGGAGTATTGTATAGTTTTTCTCAGTCACTTTAGCTCAATTCTCGAATGAGATTCTCTTTTCCTCTAAACAGTAAAAAGTGCATGAGTTTTGGCACGTGTGCAAAAGAGTAAGTAAAATTGTCTACAATTTGCACAATAACTAAATGCACATGGCTTGCTTATCAAAACTGACGAGTTGGTTCTCAAAATCTGTTAGACATAGATGTATATTTATAAATACATATGTAAAAATGTGAAAATAAATTGACATGCAAATGTGAATTTTGTTTAGATGTATCACATTACTACAAAAATATGTTGTATAGAAATTTGCATTATTCTTTTTCTCTGTACATGACCTTTCCCAATACATTTCGAAATCTGTATCTAAAAAGTTTGGGTTGACTCCAATTTTTAACCATATGGCCCACACAAGGACACACACAAACAACTTTTCATTTTCTTGGCATTGGTCATTTTACTGACACAATAACTAGGTTTTGAAGCATGAATTATGTGTTTTGTGTGAGTTACTATATTTTGTTGACATGCAATAGAGTATAATGTCCCAAAAAACATATATTTACTTTATTAGTTTAGAAAATAAGGCAATTTAGATCAACTTAATCCTAAATTTATTCCATTTCATCTCCAGAACCAATTTGATCTCATTTCTATGTGATTAATTTGTCACTAACACAAATTCTATTGCCTTTAGATGCATGGTTTTACACTGAGTGTAATACACTTATGCCAGCTGCTAGACAGACAGACAGACTAGATACCCGGTCTAAATAGATAGACAGAAACCTAAAACCTGCTGTGCCAAATCTAAATGAAAGCATGCACGTTTTCTGTACAGTTCTGATCACAGACCTGCAGCCTGTTTAACAGTAATCTAGCCGCCATACTATATAGATAGATAGAATTATTAACGCACCTGTTCAAGTTATTATAAACATGCACCTGTTCAAGTTAATATAAATATATACATTTTCTCTGTTGGCATGCAGTGATACCCACAGGAAGGTGCAACAAGCGCTAGTTTATAAGGTATGCGGCAACTAGATGTTTTTTTCACTGACAGTTGATACTATCCAATTAAAAACGAATGTTTCTTGACAGTCGCTCTAATCTCTGATATTGGCCAATCAGAGGATGGGTTAGGCGGTCCTTATGCAAATGTGTTGGCAAGGGAAACGAAACCGCTCCATTCATCCTCCTCATACGGAAGAAACAAATAGGTGGCGTTTTTCTGTTGAAGTACAGTTTACTCCTCCAACCGCGAGAGTACAAGTCACTTTGAGCGATAAATAAAATACCGGATACTTCCCTCACGATATTTGGGTAAGTAATATTGTATTTGCATTGAAATAGTTGTCTACTTCTTTGTCATTTCATATCATTTCATAATGTGCGCATTGCTCCTTCAAGGTTCGCTGAATACAACATACATATTTTATATTTCATTTAGTGATACTATAACTGATAAACTAAAACACATTATTATATATGTTTTTCCTTTGCTATAATCTTTTTCCAAGAATGTGCCATTACAACTTTTAATAAATGTCATGTTAATTCTTACTCATGCATTCATATCTTGTGCAGACATAGGCTATAGATATAGATGTCATTAAAGTAAGATTAAACAAAACGGAATATACATGTATAGGCTACATGCATTTTTAAGCCAATAAGTCTCTTGCGTGATTGTTAGTTTGCCCTTATATTCAAATAACTGTGTTAATTTGGCTTGTGGTTTGTATGATGACTTGGTCCGCTGCATTTTTCTGCCCGTGTTATTGACATAATAACGAGTTGTTAAGGTCTGTTTATCAATAGCGCGGTGCCAGAAAACTTCATGGATGCGTGGATGTGAGTCAGTGTTGTGTCTGCGCTGCGCCACGCATGTATGAGTGGGACAACATGGCTGTGTCTCCAAACCTAGTCACCTGCCTTCCAAGACAGCATTTGTGGCCATGGTACTTGCAGCATTTTGGGCATCAAAGAGAACTGAAGTAATTTTGGGGCATTAGGTGCATAGAGCATTTTTGGGCAACATTGACTGAGTCACAGCATTTTTGGGCATGTGCTTGCAACTGGTTTGGGAATCATGCATTTTTGAATGGTTTAATTGGGCTTTTTTTTTTTTTTTTTGCATTGCATTTCATTGCATTAGGTGCGTGCATGCTTGCTGTGAGCACCATAAGCATATTTTAGACATTTTATAGCTCATTTTTCGGCATCACAGAGGTGTGCAGAATTTGCAGCCGTCATTCACAAGTGAGTAGAGCATTTTTGGGAATCATAGACTATTTGTTTGGCTATCATATGTGCTTGCAGCTTTGACGGACACTTTCGTTGGGAAGCATTTTCGACATTACTCTTGTGCATCATACGTACAGCATATTTTAGGCATATACCATGGATCATTTTTTGAGGATCATAAATGTGTGCGGCATTTTTGAGCATCATAGACACATGCCACATTTTTTGGCATCATAGACACATGCAGAATTGTTTGTGCTTCATAGGCCCTTGCAGAATTTTTTGGCATCGCAAGCTCATGTCATTTTTTAGTAATTTAGAGATTAGGGATCAGGCACAGTGCCATTCTATCACTGATATACCTTGTCATTTCAATTAGTTTTTGTGTTTAAAAAAATGTCTATGCCAATAGTTTTTATTCATTTTTATTTCAGTTTTAGTTATTTTAGTACTTTAAGTTCAACTAACAATGTAACTCTTTAAATTAGATTTGTAAACAATCTGCATATAACCTGAAGTTAAATAAATAATTGACTGCTCTTTGAGTGCTCTGTTCACTGGTCACCAAGTGCTCACCATTGAACTGTCACTAAAATGATCAGCAGCGAGTTGTGAGAGCACTGGCTTGTTGGCACCACGTTTGTTTGCGTACATGCTGCCGTTTGGACGGGCCTGCGAGCGGCCGTGAAGCCTCAGTGAGCTCAGTATGTCTCACGGCCACTGCTCATTAAGCTAAATTAATGAATGGATGCAGATGTGATTATGTATGCTCAGATGAAACACTGCAGAGGGCTGGAGAGATGTGGGATGGTTTAATGATGAGAAGAACGGAGGTCCACGGCCGCATCACTTCGTCTGACCATGACACACTTCAATTGCTGAAGTGCAGGGCGATTGTAAAATATGTTTAGTTTAAAACATCTGAAAAGGTGTCCTGGTGTGGAAGGAGCTTTGTCCTTTAAACCTGTAAAGCCGGCCATATGAATCAGTAATTTTTTTTAATGGAAGAGTTTATTGAACCTTAAGACAAAATATAAATAAAAAAAACATTTAAACAAAAGTTTGCAGAGTGTCATATTTGATACAGCATGCAATTATAACTCATATAGTATTATCTAGAAGAATATGGATATCGAGAAGGAAAAAAACACCTCAACTTAGTTCAGATGCCCAAACTGAGTAAAAATATACAATTTAGTTCAGTTGCTGATATTTATGGTCAAAATGTAAGATGAAATTCTGAAACAAGTATTGCAGACTATAACATGCATGTAAATATCAGTGTCACTCTATATCTCCCAATAATGTCTTAGTAAATGATATTTAAATGCTTATTTAATGACCAAAGCTCTGTGGCTTTAATTATGGGGGGAAAACATACAATACAACGATGATTGAGAGATAGATATCCCTCAAAAGCCTGATGTATCACAATTAATAGTCACATTTTAACATGATTTTTCTAAAAAGAAAATGCATGGATAATCAAGTAAACCAGTTGCTTTAGTCCAGTTAGTGTTCATCTTGAAATATTTCTAAAAATATAAAAGTTAAGTAAAGATTTCCCAGCAAAAAGACAAGTGTACCACAACCTGAAGGGGGACTTTTTTTATAATTAAAGGGCTTTCATTTGTTAAAAAAAGTGTAAACTATCAATCAGATGACAGAGGCATGTATAGAAGATAAGAGGCCTTAGATATTTGCGTATCAACTATGGTACAGTAGGCTTTTTTAGTGAACTAGCCTAAAAGATAGTAGTACTAGACTGTGGACGGGTCATAGGGTCAGCACATACACGTCCGACCTTCCCCTTGATTTTGTCCCCAACAAGAGCATTGGCCAGTCTCGCACTACGCTCACACGCATGACCGACTGGCTGATTACCCGTGTCACATGCTCTGGTTTTCATGGAGATGGATGGCAGATTTAAAATGGCTGAGCTCTGGAAGCCACACACAGTTGTCAGCTTTTCTGCTGGACCGATCTATGACCTGGGCAGCTCGACATGTAAAAACAAAGGAATGCCTGCTTGGAAGAACGAATGATGACGATTGTGTATTGTTCCCCTCTCAGATAGGATCCTGTTAATATTGTGCATGTTTGTCATGTCAAACAGAAGCGCTCTGGCTTGTTTCCTTTCTGTTAATCTTTTTTCGCTGGCGTTGTTGTTGTTGTTCTTTTCTCTGCTTCCTGTTCTGAATTTGAATGAGAGGCAAGTACAGTGTCATAACGGAGGGATGCTGTCAGATACATTTAGCAGCTGGAGTTATCGGATGACGCCCTGGGGTGTTAGAAACAAATTGTTCAATGCGCTTACCCAACATGGTACAGCATTTAGATAAGGCATTAAATACAAACCATGATAAGGCTGATTTTGAGAAATAGGACTGACAGTTCCATGGCAAAAAATAGTGTTGGCATAGAATGACGCCCACTGTGAATCCAATCTATAGATAGTATGGTACAGCACATCCTTTAGCATCTGACTGCTTGTATGTTTCCAGCTTATTGATTTGAACACAAACTGATTTTACTTTGAACTGATATTTGCTCCTCCCGGGAGATAGAATTTCAAACTTTTGGGGCCTCATTTATAAAATGTTTTGTAAAAACCATCTTACGTTTGATCGATCATGTGCATCCGTGCGATTCAGGGAACGTGCGCACGCCTCTCTCTCAGATGTGAAATTTATAAATCACAAATGATCTTGAAATTGTGCGCAGCTGAATGGTTTCAGATCTCTGCCTTGTAAATGGCACATAATTAATGTAATTAACATATAAAGAGCACCCGTCAACGTCCAACTCCAAACGCTTTACTTGTGAATGGTGAGCGGCAAACTTTTCCACGTCAAAGACCGTTTTTATAAATATGATCATTGGGGTGGATTTTAGCGTAAGCACACTCTAAGATCAAATCTGTGCAGGCACATTTTATAAATGAGGCCCTGGATGTTTACAATTGATTTGCACATTTTTCTAACGGGAAACAAATTTAATTCGCCACTTCTTTCAGAGGTATTACAGTGCACTACATCGACCACCCAGACTGATCATCACCACATTTCATAATCCCATTTATTCCCCCCCCCCAAAGTGCCATCCTTGAGAGGGCACAGTTCAAATACCGCCTGCCAAGCCACTTAAATCAAATGCAGCACAATAAAATGATCACAGAAAGACTGTGCACCTGTGTGACACGCCGTTCTGAATACTAAATACTGATTGTGCTCAATTTGTATTATTCCAGCATCTGGAACAGCCGTTTAATGGTACAATATTTTGTTCTGCCTAACAGAGACGGATGGCATGCGCTTATTAAAATAACTGTTTATAATGTTGTTGTTTTGTACTCTAACAGAAGCTTTAAAACTTTGTTTCCTAAACCACAAACCATAATGATTTTATAATATTTTATTTATCTGATTAGATTATCTTCCAACATTATCTTTTTTTCTCAGTAATATAAGGAAATTAAGTGAATGACTTCAAATTTATATTATATTGATTAAATTATATTATCAATATGATATAATCAATATAATTATTTTGATTAAATATTCTATTATTTATAACAGATTTAACAAGATATTTTTCTGAAGTACTGTATGTGAGTTGTGAATACCCATGCAAAACTTGCCACCACAATTTTGGTGTTGTTGTGGTATAGTTCTGTCTTTATTGTTGTTATGTGTTGCTAGGGTATTGCTAGGTGGTTTCTAAGGTGATCTGAGTGGTAGCTTACTGGCCAAGTGAAATGAGTCTACCCTCAAGTGTCCGACATATTTAGGTTTCGATTAAATGCCATGTATGGTATTTTCTCATGAGATCTGACATGTAAATTGGCTAATAAGTCAAAAAGCTTAGAATAGTAATAGCACACCTTTCCTCAACAAGCCACATGAGTGAGATAGCATTAATGTCTGTATAGCACAAAAGGTGTGGGATGAGTTTGCACATTAAAATTTGCTAAGACGTAGGGGTTCATTCAAATCGCTAATATGAGCATAATATCAATAGTAGTGACAAATCGATAAGCGATAACTACTGATTGGTATATTATCACTAACCCTTTT